GTGGTTTGCTGAGGGGTGAGACGGAGACTAGCAGCACCGCAGGCTCTTCCTCATCAAGAAAACAGTCAGACCTGTGCCCGGCGGCCCCACGGCCCCAACCCACCATCCTTCCCCTCTCATCTTTGTTTGCAGTCCTCCTCTCTTTACTCTGACCCTATTTTTCTTTCTTTTTAACTTCTTCTCTCAGACGCTTAGCTCTTTAACCTTTGTCTTCTGTACTAACATCAGTACTGGAAGCTATCAGGGCTCCTCCGAGTATCACCAGAACCGCGTGGAAATGTTATGATACGTAGCTGTTTTCTTGTTTGGTTTGGTTTGGTTTGAGGTTTACTGGGACGAGCAGGGCAGTCATGTGGATCACACCCAGAACCTTCCACCAAGCTACATCCCTACCCTTATGTGAGACACAGGGTCTGCTAATTCATTAGGGTGCCCAGTTACATGGTCCCCCCGCCTCGGCTTCCCAGAATGCTGGGACTGCAGTCGTGTGTGCCATCATGGCCAGCTGATACATTGCACCTTAATTAACTAATAACTTAGGACATTATTTCTTTTTGAACAAAATGGTTATTAAAAATGCTTTGCCTCGCAAATACACGGAGAGAAATGTGTGTGGTTTTGGGGGGCGCTGATAATTCCAACTAAAGAACACAGTATGTACGACATCATATCTTAGAATTTGCTGAGGCTTCTTTTGTAGTGAGGACACAATTGAGTTTTATAAATGTTCCAAGAATACTTAAAAATGTGATTTTTCTAATTCTCGGTAAGAGGTTTTCCAAGCTTGTCTGTTAAAGCAAGTTTGACCATCACATTGTTCCACTATTCCATAGCCTTTCCTTTTTTGCCTTTTCTTTATTGTTTTGGTTTGGTTTGGTTCTGTGGTACCCAGGGCCTTCATACTGAACTACAACCTTGGGCTTTTTTTTCTGAGACAGGGTTTCCTAAGTCACTAAGCTGCCCAGGCTGGGCTTGAATTCCTGATCCTCCTGCCTCCGCCTCCCAAAGTGCAATTTTTAAAATCAATATTTTCCAGTTTGGCATTTTCACCCTAAAGTTCCATTTTTTTCATTTTTATATTTTGAAACTGTTTCTAATGGTATACAAGTTTAGAATTGTTCTTGTACTCAGCTCCTTTTCTATTGCTTTTTATGTACAGATCATTTTTATCACAAGTAATGTTTTTTGCCTCCCAAACTATTTTATCTGACATTAACAAGCAACACCAATTTTCTTTTGGTTAGTGTTTAACTGTCATTACTTCTCCCATCCTTTTTGTTTCATATTTTTGATGCACTACACTTCTTGTAAACAGCAGATAGTTATATTTTATTTCTGGGTAAGCTCTACTTATTTCCTTCAAACTCTACTATGCAATCAAAAGAATGTTCTTATACCTTCTGTAAAATTTTTAGGTATCAATTTCAGGAGATTTTCGGGTTTCTTATTGACAGAAAGGGTCTCAGATCCTGTTATTCAAGAAGCTATTAAGGGTGGTTGTTCGGTTTTCTTCCTTGGGGTGTTGAAAATTGGAACTTTCTCTTCCTCAGTTTGTATTGTCCGCTCACATCAAGCAAGTCCTTAATTTCATCTTGTCTCTGCCAGGCATCCCCAAAGAACTCCACATCTGCAGCCTACTTCTTGGGTTTCTCTGCTTGTCATAGTTTGTACTAATCAATTGTGCCGGAAGTGAGTCAATGATAAAATAGATATTATGTCACTTCCTTGAAAACAGACTTTAACATTGTAGATCAGGTTTCCCAAAGACAGTTCCTTAGATCCTCGGAAAATGTGATTACCTTTGACCTCCTCTGCTAAACCATGGCCCTCTGGGGCGATTCTTTGATTTTCATCAACAGCAAAGCCAATTACACTAAGTCTTGTCTTGCTGTGGCTTCCTTTTTCTTTTTCTTCCTCTTCCCCGATCTTAGATAAATATATCTTTAGTATTTATTGAGCACTTGTAAGCCATGGCCCTCTGTTAAGTGTTTTGTCCACTGTGTCACTTCATCTTGACAAGCCTGAAAGCCAGTTATAACTGTTCTCCTTCTCTAAGGAACCTGTAATCTTTGGGGTTCTACTGGGACTGGGCTACAGCCGAGTAAGAAAGCAAGTGAACAAGTTCTCTCCAATATCAAATCCTGCCTCTCCTCATCTGGCCCAGGTTCCATTTTCCCACACAGTCCTATGGCTGCTTTGTCTTTGATTTCTAGCCACCCAATAAATAATTCTGTGACCTAATTAATCCTCCAGGATTTGATTGCCAGCTCTAAGTTCTCTGAGCACCCTACACACAAGGGGGTGCTGACTGGTGGTCAGCTGAGCAGACGGTGCCCCCCACGTCTTGGAACTCCACTTTTGTGGGCATCTCTGAAACCCTCAGGACTCAAAACTCTTCCCCTGGAATCCAGGAGGAGCAATAGCTGCCTGACTTCCTGTTTCCTTCTGTGCTCATGGGCTAGTTTGACAATGCCTGTTCGGATCCTGGGTCACCTGCAGGGTACATTGTGACATGGTCCTTCCCAGTTCCCCTTCGGCTCATCCTGAGGCAACAGAGGTGGTGAACAAACAGCACATGGCACCGTCATCCCCTGCTGGCTCCCCTGCCTCCTTTTGTTCTGGGGGAGGAGAGCAATGAGGACCAGTGGTCCTCAGGGCTCATCCTGGCCCATCTTTTAGAGAGAAGGCAGAAGGGTGGAAGCACAAAACTGGCTTTCCCTGGGTGTTCTTGAAGTAAACAATACCCCTATGCTGTCAGCATGACCATTGTCCCCATACTGCACATGGAAAACACTCCCAAAGTCTCCAAGGAAGTAGGTGCTGGAGCTGGCATGCGGCTGGCAACTGGCTTGGCTCCAAGGCCTGTTCATGTTGTCCTCTAGGGAAACTGTCTTGGGTGGAGGAGGACAGGAGCCACGCGAGAGCTAGCACCTTTTCCGAAGCATAGGAAAGGCATCCTCTGTCTCCCTCAAGCATCTATCACTCACTGACCTAGGGGTTCCCAAAATGTGGCTCACTGATGTTTGGACCTTTTCAAAATTTCCTTAAGAGAACAAGCATCATGAGGTGCCATTTGCAGAGTGGAGATCATCCTGCCCTGTGAGCAGATTTGATGAGGAATCAGGACACTACTCACAAAGGAGGAGCAGAGAAGAAAACAAAGCAAAAGATTGGAGCCCACAGAGTGGAAAGCTACCTCCGCCTCCATGTATCAGTGAGGGGGGATCGAACCTCCCAAGGGAAAATGACTGCCCAAGGACAGGGAATGTAGCAAAGCCAGAACAAAGACCCAGGCTTCTCCCTCCCTGTTAGGTGACCCCACACCACACACCATTTGGGGGCACGCTGGTTTCTTTATGAGAGCGGAGACTCTCTCCGTAATACTATAGTTGCTGGTATATGACTAGTAAGGGATTCCTAGTGAAATACCATCTTACCCTGTCCTAGGGCTGCTCAATAAAGTAAAAATATATACTGGGGGCATAGCTCGCTGGTAGATTGCCTGCTTAGCATGTGCAAGGTCCTGGGTTCAATCCCCAGCACCCAAAAATAAAAAATAAAAATAAAGATATATATTAAGCAGACAAACAAACCCCATAAAAATAAAATCCCCATCCTTCATTATTTTTTATTTCCACATATCTTTTCTATCACTTACTCAATCCATCCTTTCATTTTGCATTGTATAGTATCAGCTCGGGGTGTCAGGCCAGGACACCAAAACACCAGGGGGCATCTCTGCCAAGCAGGGGTGTCTTGTCTTCTCAGCCCTGCTTTGGGGCGCTCACCCAGAAAGAAGCAGAAGTCTATTCACCTTGATTTATAGCCTGTACCTCCAGAATTTCCCGGACACTCTGCCCCCAAACCGGCTGTTAAATTCTCTATTTGCTGACAACCCTACCCTTCCCCAACCCTCCACCCCTGGTGGCAAAACACTGTGACTGTTGTTAAGATGCTGTTTAAATGCAGAACGTTATTATCACTATATATCATTCCGATCCACTTTCTGGGTCGTACCAAGGATGTCAGGATGATGCAAGCCAACATTTTTATTATTTAGGATACAGTATACTAAGTTTATGTTGATTACTCTGAGTATCATCTTTGAAAGATAACTAGCATTAAAGTGTTGATAATGTCCCACTTTTGCAATCATATTTGCATAGTGTACAACACAGTTTAGCAGGAAAAATGATCTTAAGTGGTGTTTTTCATCTGCTGTCAGCCTCACCCTGCTTGCTTCAACTGGGTACATGCGGCAGGACAAATGCCTACTGCTTTTTTTTTTATATCAGCTTTACGTTATATAATAATGTTATTCATGTTCCTTCTAGACAGCTGCAGCTTGGAGCTGTAATGAGCTGGTCAGACCTGGATTCCAATTCCAGTATGCCTTGATAAAGTCATTTAACCACTCTGCAAAATAGCCACCTCTTTGTACAAGGGGGTCATCACAGCTGGGAGATTGTAGATCATACAAAAAAAAAAACCCAGAACTAGCACTATGGCTGGCTCAGGGCTGCCAAGCCGTGGCCCTCTTTGTTTTCTGTACAGCATGTTGAAATGCCCACTTACTGCATTTTGAAATCCAAAATTGAAAGAAACCCGCATTCCCCACTGTATTCCAGCCCGTGATCCTCCCCCGCCCCAGCAGTGTTATATGTGCAGATAATCTGTTTGATGCCTCTGAACGAAGAAGGGACACTGATTTTATTTTATGAACAATAGCTAAATGTCACCTGAGTACTGGCTACTGGGAAATAAATATTCTAGATTTCATCTATTCATTCATTCATTACAAACAAGCTATCCTCCAAACGACCCCCTCCTTCTCCCTTTCCCCCTGTTCCTTCAAAAAACATTTTTTTTTAAATCCCCAAGGCCTAGTACGGTCTTTTTGCCCAATTGGATGCTATTTTTCATTTTCGTCTTGTCACCACCTAATGTCCAAATTTATTTAAATCATCCTCAGACACAATCCTACAAGATATGAATCACATTTGAGGGATTTTTTTTCCCTCTAACTTGTCAGCTGTCTCACGTATGATTGACAAGATTTCCATTTCAGTCATTTCTACTAATTCCGCTTCAAATCTGTATATTTAATGAACACACCAATTGGTATCTTGTTATCACGCAGGGCCATTTTTTCAAGTGTAATGTGCTGATTTTAGAATTGACCTTGCTTCGTGGCTGCCTGTAGATAAATTTCAAAGAAAGCCTTGTCCAATTTGTGTTAAAACAATATCTAGCACATGAATACAATCCTCAGATCCTCCTTCCAGTCCCCTCCTGTATGTATATGAGCAGTTTTCCTGCTCTTGTCTGACTTTTAACACTTTCCTGTCAGCCTGAACCACTGGTGGTGCATGCATGACTGTCCCATCAGGCAGGTTGTACCGCTGGTGGCAGAAGTGGTGCAGTCATGCAGGGGACAGTCATGCATGTTCAGGCCACCCAGCAGTGAGACATACGAATTACAGCCCTGTCGTGAACGTGCTAAACACAAACAAGGCTCTTCTCTTCATAAAGGTATGCTGAATTGTATAACTGCACACAGACAAGAAGGAAATCAGAGTTTACCTGCACTGAAAAGCAGTCCCAGCTCTCCAATGCCAACACAATCTGACACATGCTAAAAACTGCCTGAAGCACTGGTGAGTTATAGCTCTTCTCCCCGGGGCAGATAATTCATTAGGAAATAGCCTCATGCCCTATGTAGCAAGTGAACAGAAATATTTACTTGCTGTAATATCAGATGGTAAAGGTACCGGGTTGCTTTCAGAACATGAGGGGGAGGGGAGGCCTGCAGTGGACGCCCATTATAAGCATTGCAAATGAATCATTAGCCTTCATCCGCAATCTAGGTCAGGGTGGGAGGGGGCCTTGTAAATCTGCTATCTGCTCAGGTTGAATCTGCTTATGTGTAGACACAGGAGGCAGCGGCTGTGCTGTGCTACAGCATCCTAGGAGGAACAGGAAGATGCTTTTCGCCTGCTAAAGGCACCAGTTCCTGACCCACAGAGTAATAAAAAATAAAGAGGATCATACTTCCAGATGAATGCCATTTACATACACACAAACGCTACGTTCCACTAAGGTTCTCTGGTTAACTTTTCAGGCCTTGAGAAGTATCTGCCAGATAGATTTGTAAAGGGAGACAGTATCTTCCTGATTCAAGATCATGTGGATTCTTTAAAAAAAAAAAAAAAACAGCAGAATCACTCTTCGTATGGAAATAGGATTTTAGAAATCATTGAATCATGTTAAAGAAGAAGGTACAAATCAAGAAGGAAAGGGCTTTCCTTGGCCAAGGTCATACAAGTGTCCTATACCATGCCACAGTTTGTTTTTCTTTTGGCTTTTTTTAAAGATTCCTTTTTTTGCACAATATGAATAATTTATTAAATAACACAGAAGCAGAACAAATTGACTTGGTAACTGCCACCCAATAAGCTGAATTAGTATCAGAGACCCTAGCCATGTGCCTCATCCTTCTCCCAAAATGACTACAGAAAGGATGCTAAGGGTCGGGGTCCTTCCCCCAAACCCCTGCACTAGCTTGAATGCGATTATTTTCAGGACTTATTGTGGCACTTAATTCACTTGGTCAAAGGCTCCACACTTTGTTGCAGCTCTCTTCTTAAGCCCCTGAGCCCACAGTAGGCTAGCTGGGTATGTTTTCCTAATAACACTCTGAAATGCTGCTGCAACTAGAGAAATTTAAACAGAAATTTGAATTTCAAAATTCAATCCGACCTAAACTCCAGGTGAACTTAATAGGGTAAGCCATTTTTTTCCATTTCTTTTTCTGTTTCTTTTTTCCCTTCAGTATATATTTTTATTTTTATTTGACACATAAAAATTTTATATATTTATGGGATACAGTATGATGCTCTAATACATGTATACAATATCCAACGATCACACCAGGGTAATTAACATTTCCATGTCCTCAAAATTTTATTATTTCTATGTGTCAAGAACCTTTGGACTCCTCTAGTTATTTTTAAATATGTCACAAATTATTGTGAAAAATAAAGTTACCTTAGGCTATTTTTTTTATTTGCCAAAGTCAGAAGAAAACTTTTAAAGCTCAAACAGGATCTGAGAAAAAAAATATACAGCAAGAAAGGAAGAGACACCTAGGTTTGCTCTTAACTTTCCTTCTGAATTTGCTACAGACCACCTCCATGGTGCCTGGAAACCAGGCTTTCCTCTCACTGGGCCTTGCTTCCCCTTGTTTACGAGGAATCAGGGAGAGAGACCGAGCTGTGCCCTGACTCCATCCTTAGCTACGCAGTCCAAGTAACACCTCCCAAATCATCTGATTCATTTTTTGGAAAAACACAATCACTGCAGCACTCTCTGCAGTTATTTCGAAAGATGTGAACCGAACTGAGGTTCACAGAAACACTTCTGCGTCTGCAGAATTCATATAAAGCTTTCAAAGGAGGTAGTTCCACTATTGAAATAATTTTCTAAAACAGTGTTACTGACTTTGGACGAAAGAGCTAGTGTATCTGACCAGTATTTTCACCGTCCAGATTGACTGATACAGGAGCCCTCCACCCACCACCACCCCCACCTCTATTATTTCTATCTCTCCCTCTTAATTTTAAAACATTTTTGTGAAGGCCTCGAGAGCAAGCAAGTACGTGTACACACCGATAAGAACAAGGCTGGTTCTTATTTGCCTGAATATTTCACTCCGAATGGAGTTTTGTATTTTGCAACTGGAAGGTGATAGAATATTCTATTTCAGGACACCTTTAGAACAAGGAGGCCGCTTAGACGACCTGCAGAATGTTATTTTGATTTCTGCCACAGGAGGAACCACTTCTCCTGAATGCAAACACCAGCAAAGAATGTGTTAGAGGATCCGCCATCATATTAAAAATTAAATCCGACTGCATTTCATAATAGGCTTTCCTTTTTAAAGCACAGTTTCATCTTCTCACCATGGAAATTGGACTCCGATGGCTATTCTTTACCGTTAACACTGGAGCGTTGGCCAGGGTCAGAGCCCTGCTTCTCTAAACAGGGAGCCACAAATGTCACCGACACATGGTACGCTGGCAAATAATGTATTTCTTTCCCATCTCTTGTCTCTTCGGCTTGCCTAACTCAAGTCTTGCTTGTGGTCTTCCTACCTCCCTTTGGCCAGACCAGCAGGTGGCATGCAATTTACGATGAATTCAGAAGGGTACCTCTTTTGATTTTTGTTGTTGTCTTTATTTTAACCTCCAAGAACAGAGATTTAACTCAGTCTTCACCCCAGGCTAAGCTAATACTTAGGTCATGTCTGAGCTCTCTGGGGAAGGCCCGCTTTATCCCATCCGAGGGGCAATGGTCTTTTTAGTGGAGCAGTACAGCTGTCCAGCCATATGGGCCCCAAACAGCCCAGTCAATCGGATTTGGGGAGGTTTTACAATGTAATTTCTTAGCGTGTTAGTATTTGGGGTGAGTTTGATCGGGAGCATACACTCTTAAGCCCAAGGGGTTAGGTTTTAAGAAGCCATCACAAACGTCCCGGCAGCATCCGATCAGACGGGTTAAAAACAGACAGGAGATCTGGGGCTGGGGGAAGGGAAAGGACTCCTGACTCCCTGGTTGGAGAAAGCCCCAGGGGTATGCGCTAACTATTAATTCAGCATCAGCTGCTTTTTCCCCCCTCTCCCCTTTTCTTTTTTAACCCGGGGCTCATCATTTAAGGCGTTCCCACTCAGGCCTGCGGTGCCTGTTACAAAACCATCGCTCTGCTCCCCTCCCCCCATGCCGCAAGATGAGAGCGCGCGGATCCTGCATTGCAGGGACGGCGTTGGAGGGACCGACCGCGTTGAGACCGTTTTCTAGCTGAACAAAACCAGGCCTGCCAGGGAAGCCGAGCAGAGCGCAACAGCCTCTGCGTCCCTCTCTGTCCTTCAGTGGAGACCAACGGAAACTCCTGTCACAGCCCCGTCCTTCCAGGTAGCAGGGCGTCCGAAACTACCTGCTGAAGGAATTCTCAGTGAGTGGAAACCAGTCCTGGAGCTAAAACGCTGACCAAAATGGTGGCGGTCTTGAGGCAAGCAATCACCGACAGAGTTTTTCCACCAGAGAAGTATTTTAGTCGAAGGGGAACGTTATTAGAATGGCTAAATTTTCCTCCAGAGAGACGGTTCTTTTCAACTAGCTGCAGCCTTATATTAAAAATCTAGTGCACGGATCTTTTATACTCCCGCCCCATACAGTTTTCCACTTCATGAAATTTACAAAAACTGCTGATTTTCTAAGCTAGAAAGAGGTCTAGCGGTGCAGTGTTGAAGCAAACCGAGAGGTGTTGAGCTCGCTATTCTTCCTTGGGGCAGACACCCAATAAAGGAGTAGAGCTGAAGTGGCCTCGAAGCGAGAAGGGCAGCGCCCGGGCCACCGCCCGTCGGGCCCATTCCCCTGGCCGGCGCCTCTGCAGCCGCCACGACCCTCCAGCCGCGCACTCGGGATGCGCGAGTTCTAGAGGGCCGCTTTGGGCTGCCAGGGCCTGTTCTCGCATCTCTTTCTGTCCTGAATCCAGAGCTGCCCAAGAAACACTTGGGATTTTAAGTCATCAAAAAAAGAAAGAAAAGCCAGAGTAGAGTAGAGAAAGCAGATGGGCCCTGTGTATGCTTAAACAGCCCGGCCCTTTGGAGGGACCGCGAGGACCTCTCCGCCCATGTGCTGGGGTTTCCTGGAGGGGGAGTCAGGGGGTGCTGGTCTCTGGGTTTTTGCTCTTTGGAGCAGATTGAGTCCTTTCCCTAAAGCGCTCGGAAAAAGACACCCAAACACCCGCACAACCTCCACCCCAAAAGGCGCCACCCCGAAGTGTGTCCGCAACTCGGCGGACTGGTGGCCCGACGGGGAGACGCACTTCTGCGCCTCTAATCTCCGACTTCCATCTGGCCCCGGCGGGCGCGCGCGGGCGGGAGGGCGCGAGGAGGGGCGGGGCGCGCAGCCAGAGGCGCGGGTACGCGCGCCCGCTCTCCTTCACGTTCACCTTGACGTGGGGGGTGAGCCTGCCTCTCCCCCCACACCTTTCTCTCCGCCCCCGCCGCGGTCCCGCCCAGACGCCAGCCCGGGGCGGGTGGGGGAGGCTGCCCACGCGCTCGGGTCGCCGCAGCGTCCCAGCAGCCGAGCGCTCTCCGCAGTGATGTCAACGAAATCTGCCGCAGCCCCCCAAACCCACCCGCACCCACCTCGGCTGCGCCCTGGGGCGAGGGGCAGGCCGCGTGCGGCTGCCTGGGAACCCCCTTCTCCGTGCGCCGTAGCGCGAGAGCCACGGCCCCTGGGGCAGAGGAGGAAGGGGATGCGGACCGAGGAGGGGCGATGGAGACAGGTGTCGACTTGACGCTCCGAGCTGCCCGGAGGACCCTGCCCGGGACCGAGGCCGCCAGAGCGGCGTGCAGGGGGCGGCTGGCGCGCGCCGAGCCCTGCGGATGCGGCGCGTGGGGGCGCGCGCGGGCCAGGTGCCCCCTGCTCGCTGGATGGAGGCTGATAAACGGAAGCGCGTGCGAGGGGGTGCGAATCGCCACCTCCGGCCTTGGCTTTCCCGCTCTTCCGAGCGCTCCCATTTCTCACTTTCCCCAAATCCGCATTTTCCTTGGCACAGCCCTCCTGTTCGCCAAGGAGAGAGAGGGAGGTGCCCGGGGGCCGCGGGAATGACGTGCGCTGGTGCAGAGGGGGTGGGGGCTGCGGGCTGGGCTCTCCACGTCCTAATCCTCTTGTTTCGGAACCGTCAGCAGATGTGGCTCCTCTCAGCCGAATAATCCGTTAAAGGAATAATAATTTTCTTTTAAAAAAGGGAGATCGACCTCACCCAGCGAGGACTAGGAACGAGATCGGGGCTTGGTAAGGGTACATGGGGAAAAGGCTCCAAATTCTCCGTCCCTTTCTGCCTCCCTCGCTCACCCCCCTCCCCGCCCTCCTCCTCGCCCTCCTCCCCCATCCCCTGCAATCCGCACTCGACGCGAGTTCACGCGCAGGGCTGGATTTCCAGGCTGCACCGCAACTTCGCTGCGCGTTATTATCATCTGAGAGCGCTGCGTCCACAACCTTTGCTTTCTGCGCTCACATCCTTCCCCCAGTTCCCGCTGCACGCATGCTCTGGTTCACCAGAGCAGGGAGATTCGGATTTTTTTTTTTAAATCATGATCATCACCATGATACCCCTTCTCCTGGTTATCATTTCCTCCTGCCAGGTGGGGCGGCCACCAGCGCCTGCTCGCCTTCCCCGGGTTACGAAGCGATTTGGGCTCGGCCCCAGCGCCGCTTCCTGGATGCGGGCTCTGTGCCTCCGCATCCCTCCCTCGTCCATCTGCATGTATGTTATCTCCATCCCTTTTATTCCAGTAGATCTACCGCCTTTGGTGGGGCTGGCTGAGATGCTGCGAACTGCAAACAGTCTCTTAAAAAAGGAGGACAAATAGATGAAGACCTTGGGTGGACGCCGGAACAAAGCAGCGTGGGCTCTCGGGAGAGAAGGAACGCGCTGGAGCGCTGGCTCCGGACACGGACACGAGCGATCTCCGCTGCCCAGCGACGCCCGCCCTGCGCGCAGACCTCTCAGGGTATTCAGGATGAATTTTACTGATCTTTTTGACATAGCTTTAAGGGCCAGGCTTAGGGATGGGGTTGGGGTTTTTGTTGTTTTGTTTTTTTCCGGGAATAGATGAATCGAGGGAGATCCGGGTGGCGCTAACTCGGCTTTCCTGTCCCCCTGCCTCGCCTTCAGATGCGGGTAGGGGACAGGGGAGTGGGGACCAGAAGGCTTAAAAAAAGAGAAGCAGCCGGATGCTGCCTTGCCGAGCTCAGGAGATGGGTGGGCGAGGTGGAGGGAAGTGGGATGGGCCAGCTGGAGGAGGGTGGCGACCCAGGAGGGGATGCGTCTTGCCAGGAATAAGAATCCGGGGGTCCAGGAGAAACTGACAGGCCCATATCCGCGCAAAACGAGGCGACAGGATTTGTGTGTAAACAAAGTGGGGAGGTAGAGGAGGGAGAGGACGAAGGGGGGTTCAAAGAATGTCTTATTGTCCCTTTGGCTCTGGGGGCTCTCCTCTGCTCCCTCTTTTTGACTCTGGGTCCAGCCTCATTATATACCGGTGACCTTTTAAATCTACGCCCACCTTTTGCCGCGTACAGCCCACCGGCAGCAAGGGTGGGGTGGGAGACTGTGGGGCGCCTCTCTCCCCTCACCCTGCCTCTCTCCCCTCCCCCTCCCTCTTCCTCTCCCTCCCGCTCCGTCTCCCTCGGCCCCCCTTCATCTCTCTCTTCCTCCCTCCCACCTCCCTCGCTCGCTCCCTCCCTGCTACATTTTGCATGAGCTATCTAGGTCATTAGCATTTTAGCGTATGCAAGACTTGACAAAGCTGACGAGGAGCCAGATGGGCCTCGCTCTTATGGGGTTTTTTTTTTCTCCCTCTTTTCCTTTTTCTCTCTACCACTTGGGACCTGAGCGACAGGACTGGATCCGGAGAGTTCCGGGAGGCCAATTCCCCAGATCCCGGCCCGGACCCAGAGCTCGCCCCTGCGGCACGCCCGGCCGGGGTGCGCTTGGACCCGGCCATCCAGGTACAGGCGGCGGCCCGCGCCCTGCTCGGCAGCCGCTGCGGGCCCCCTGCTGCCATCCTGCTCCTCGGCTCTGCCCTTCTCCCTCCTGACCTCCCTCAGGGTCCCGATCCAAGCCGAAGTGGGTGGGCAAGGCTCGCAGCGCTGGGAAGAGGTGGGGTGGATGTTGGTTTTTCATTGTCTAGAGCTGCAGGCAGAGGAGGTGTCGCGCGGGGAGAGGGCGAAGGGAGCTGGGGTAATTAACACGGGGGAGGCGCCCCTCCGGCTCCCACTGGCACCCACACCCCTGCCCTCCACCCCTCCGCTTTGCAGGAAAAGGCCTGGATGCGGGCGAACAAAGAGCCTTCGGAAGACGTCGCCGTTATCTCATTGTCTGCGCGACTGGGGAGCTGCGGGGGGGGGGGGCTGCGGTCCGGCGCTCCCCGCCCCCACCCTCCGCGGTCGGCGCGCACGCACTCGCGCCGCTTTTATTGCTCTTTCCCTTTCGCTCCTTCCACCTCTCCCCGCCCTCCCTTTCTTTCATCTCCTTCCTTCCTCAGGAGAAAGGCCTCTCTCTCCGTGTTCACAGCGGACCTTGATTTAAATGTCCATACAATTAAGGCACGCGGTGAATGCCAAGAATGGGGCTGGCTGAGCACCTCGGGTCCGCGCGGCGCGGCCCGCCGAGGAAGGAAGGAGCCGCGGAGCCGGCTGGGCTAGCCCGCCCTGTGGCCCGCACCAGACCCGGACCTGCGCCCTCGCCCTCGCCCTCGCCCTCGCCCTCGGGGTGGGGAGGTGTGCGGCCCGAGACGAGAAGGGTTTGGAGATGCGAAGAGACTCCCGGAGGGAGGCAGAAGTGATCGGTGACCGAAACAGACTTGTGCTAGTGCGGGGCGGGGGGGGGGGGGGGCTCTTTTGCCAAGGGCCGCTGTGCTGCTTCTCTCTGAGCTCCCCTGCCTAGGACGTGGATGGACCACTTCCTCCGTGGCTATGTTTTTGTTCTGGATTTAGCCTTTAGTTTGCCTTTTGGATTAAAAAAAAAAAAAATGTGGCATTCAGGAGACTGGCAGACTGCCCCAGGGCCTGGGCTGTGCGTAGATTGCGTTCTGCTTGAGGTTTGGGGCGGGGGTAGGGTGAGCATTTGGACGCCGAGGGGGGCTGTTTGTCACCCTTGACTGCAGAGCTTGGGTAACTGACAATCCTGAGGAACTCACTGGGCTCTGCAGACAAGAAGGAATAAGCTCCTGGCCGCTTCAGAAGCTGCATCAGGGCTGAAAGCCCAGCCAGGGCTCCAAGAGCCCTCCCTCCTGCCCTCCCTGCGGCTGTTCCTGCAGCTTCAGGCAGATATCCAGGCGCTGCAGAGCAAAGGCGGTGAGGCGCAGTAACCCACGCCTGCTGAAAGGAGGGATGCATTCCTTTAAAAATGTGAACAGAAGGAAAGACAGCACTGTACAGATGGGGGTCTGAGGAAAGGCTGTTTTGAAAGAGGCTGTCAGGGCATGGAAAGGGTTAAGCTCCCCTCATCCTGAGGACCCTGCTGCCCAAATCAGGCTTTGCTCCTATCACAGCCCTGGGCAGCAGCTGGTTCTGTAAACTCATGTCGCAGTCCCATCCCAGCCCCAGCCCAGAGTGAACGGCCAAGCTGCAGCGGATGTTGCTAGACCTGAACTCATTAATTTCCAGGTGGAGAAAATGGAGGAGGGGCAGATCCCCACAGTAAAGGGAAGGGCAGGCAAAGGAGGCCAAGACTCAGGAAGCCTGCTTCAGCCACCCCCCCTCCCAGCATGGCCAAGGCCTGTCCAGGCAAGGCAAGGCCACAACGGATACCTAGGAGTTTAATTTGATTCCTGATAATGGTAATCAAGACCTAAATGAGTGTCTGCAGAAGCTCACTGAGGGTCTTCTCTCCAAAGCCTCCGTCTAGTCCAGTAAATAAACTAGTGTTCAATGACACCCAGGGTCAGACCCCTCCTGGCCTCTTTCCATCGCAGGTATTCCCTGAGTGCCTGCTATGTGCCCCTCATGGTGCAGTTATTACATCTTAGCTTCTTCCTTTCTGCCCTCCTAAGGGAGTGCTTGGAGTCAGACAGGCGGAGACTAAGTGTGCCGCACCCTACCTAAGTTCCTTCAGAACCTTCTCTGGGCCTAAGAAACTCGCCCCTGCAGAGAGAAGGCTGCAGTGTGCATCATGCAACTGCGGCTGCTGTGCTTCCCCTGAGTCCCGGAAGGTGAGCTTGGCACTAGGACAGGGAGGGAGAGCTGCTCTCACCCAAGCCTTAGCAAGGGTGGTCCCAAGAGATAGCAGCCATTGGCTCCAGCATGTGCGTCCCTTGACACCAGAGCCCACCTGATCGTAGGTGCCTTCTGCCCTTTCTGAATGAGGAGAGCGGCTAGGGTGCTGTTCTTTCCTGGGGGTGCATCCCCTGCCCCCACCACAATCATGGAGAAAGCTGGCCGAAGCCTCTAATGCCCAAACCCCTCACCCACAAATGCCTGCATTAGCGAGTCCCTACTCCGTAATCCTCCCTGAAATTCCTTCAGACATTGCTGTCCCCTCACTGATGTGCCCTGGGGTACAATCTCCCGGTGCCCCCCACCAAGTGAGTACCCTTTTAGGTGGAAACCTGACCTGCTTCTCCCCGAGAGCTTCCCCAGCAGGCACGATGGGTAAGGCCTGTCTGCCCTGGCAGGCGAGAATTTTTGTACCTGTTACTTACATAAACTCTTGTTCCAGGGAATGCTGTGGGTTTGCCAGGTCTGCGTGCAGTGATAAGAGCGTTTGCCTGTGTCCACCAGGTCTCATTATATAATGTTGCTGTGTGGAACTTTAATGGCCCTCTCCACCCATTGTGTAATTTCAAGGCCCCTTTTGCGTTGACCAAATGAAATATTAGCCCAGGTCAACCAGATCTGCTTCCATTCCTCTAAATTCAGGGCCTATTTATGCCCAGTAATAATTATGCAAAGAGCCCGAGGATTCTGCTCTTTGAAGTTGTTTCTTTCTCAGCATCATCTTTTCTTCTACCTCCCTATTTGAGCCTTCCAGATCGCACCCTAAGGCTAAAGTGAAGGGGCATAGGAATATGTTCTTCAGAAAACGTAGGACAGGATTGACTTGGTTTGCTGGCCAAGTACAGCGGGAAGGCCCCTGGGTTCTGGTACACCACCCACTGTGGTGGTGTGACCACCTGTTTCTCAAGGTAACTTCGACCAGCATTTTGGATAGACTCTACCAAAGGGAAAATTGCTAATCTTCTCCCCTGCCCCAGACAACCCAGATGTTGTTTCAGAGAGGAGGGGAAGTTGGCCCTTTATCAGAGGCAAAGCTAAAGCCTAAGTTATTTTGTTACCTAAGGGGGAGGGGCTTCTGTGACCCAGCTGGGAACTTTAATTGGAGAAATTGACATTTGGGGGAGAGGTGAGCCCTGCGCAGGTGTATACCCACATTTTCCCATAGAGCCATAGCCATGGTGCATATTGACAGGAAGATAACCGGACACGCGCGCACGCACAGACACACACACACAAAGCCCATCCATCCAGTCTCCACAGGGAAATTTTCTCTTTCCCACTATTGAACTTACATAATGCCCACCCCCCATTCCAACCTTAGCACACAGTTTTTCCTCTGGAGGCAGCTGCAAAGCTTTTTCCCTGGGACAGATGGAGCCTCCCTTCCTCACTGGCTCTGTGGGTGGCTTTGGTACCCCATGAGTCAATATGGGCTGACTGAGGAGTTGGGTGTGTGTGAGTGTATGTTGAGGCTTGGCCGGCTGATTCACACCGATGAGGATGTCAATAGCAATGAGAATGATGATATCTAATAAAGATTTTTTTTCGCTTCTAAGTCCCATCTACAATTCTTTCGTTGGTTATTTTGGCCAAGTCTTACTCAATTTGATTTTTTAAAAACACTTAATACTTAATGACATTTCAAAGGTAGACCTAAAAAAAGAAGAAGGACCTCAGATGGATTTGGTGGTGGCAATGCAATGTGGCTTTGTGTGGCCCTGGCTTCTGGGGGAGGCCTTGAGATCTTGAAGCACCAAATTTAGGTAGCAGATGGGAGTGGGGCAGCCGGTTTTACTGAGAGCAAAGAATGTTCCAGGTCGGAAAGGAAGTGTGAGCAACTCTCAATACCTTCACCTTTTCACTTTCTGATTCTTCTTTTGTCTTGCAATGTAAACGCTGCCCTGAAATGAGGGCCTGGGCCACCAGCAGAAGCCCCCAAATAAACCTCCGGGAAGCATCCCAAAGGACTTTTGCTCTCAGAATGAAAGTGGGGGTGCAGGTCATTTTCAATTCTAATGCAATCTGTTTGTTGCTTGAGCATACATAGCGCAAAATACTGAGACCTAACAGGCAATACAACTTGGTTTTGCTGCTTGTGTCATGTTTTCAAGGCGTCCGGAGTGGCAGTGTGCAGATCCGCAAAGGTGTGGGCCATAAGCTGTCGCCCAGGCGGCCTGGGGACCCGCTTTCCATCATGCACGAGGCTCTCTTTTTCCCCTTCATGCACCCAGACATCCACACGTAGCAAGGCGAAGATAAACGGCCGCTGGTTTCCCTACTCTGCTCCCCTTTTCGCCATTTTGATTTTCTTTCCGGAATCACGCACACTTAGGGCTCCTTCCCCGAGATTGGGGTCACCTACATTTCCCAAGGCTGTGGACTGAGGCTTGGTGCGCATAAACGCGGGATCGGTTCAGTCCGGTTCCGGTTTGCACCCAAAGCCAAAATCCTAAGGCGCGAGGGACGCAGGGACCACCAGCAGGAGGGACGGCGCCCGGGGCGCCCGCGTGTTCTCCTTTGCCGCGAGACCTACGTTAGAGGTAGGATAGGGTGGGAGGCGGCTGGGGCGGGCTCATCCTCAGCTCGGGGAAAATGGGCCGAGTCACACCGGAGGCCTGGGCAGAAGGAAACGTCCGCCCTCGCCGCCCCCAGCGCTTCCCGAGGCAGGCCTCGGCCTGGGTGCCGCGCACTCGCCCGTCCAGTCCTCCCCGGGTCTCTTTCTGGGACCTGCGACCTCCATCCCCGCATCCCGCCCCCCGGAAACCTTCCCCCGAGAGGGGTCAGAACGTGACAAAAAGGGGCCCTCGGGTCAAGCCTGAAAGGGGACACTGTGAAGGGTGGGGGTGGGCGAGGACCCCACTGGAAAAGCCACTTCGCGGTCACTTTCTTGACCTCCCGCCGGCAGAAGGAAAGCCCTAGGGGAGACGGCGCCTCCGAGCGTCCCCCACTCCCTTCTACAGCTGCCGCACACCCCGGTCTCCTCTGTCCTCCATTCTCCGCGCGACTCGGCCCAGGCGCGGGCGTCTGACCCAGGCCTGGGGGCAGAAACTCGCGTCCCCAAATACCCTCCTTCCCCACTCCCACCTCGCTCTCTAAAAAAACTAAAATAACAGACATCTTCAGTCCGGACGGCAAACCACACACTCCGCGGTGAAGGCAGCAGCTGAAGGCCCAGTCCTCCCAAACCTATGACCAGAACCGGTCCCTTTATAAAGAAGAGAATCTCTTCCGCTTCCTCCTTTGTTGGGTCCCCAAGGTGCAGCACGGGAGTAGCAGACCAGTACCCTGAAATAACCTTCACAGCCCTGGCTCAAGGTCACGGGTGTACCGCAGGGCCCGGAGAGGTCACAGGTCAGGATGGGAAGCTGCTACCCTGGCCGTGGCCCCGAAGCTGGCTTCACAGGGCCTCCCCCAGCCCTCTCACTCCTGCACAGACTGAAGTGGCAATGTTTATTCCCATTTAATTGAGACACAGGTTTAATTTCACATTGCTTCAGTTTAAGGTCCAATGGGGTTTTCGGCAGCGCTTTTCCCCGGTGCTTGTACAGAAACTAATTGCTGTTAATATCCAATTTTGGCATTTTTATTCATTAACCAGTTGTGCACCCCATAGCCTGGGCCTTGCTGCTAGCTGTGGAACCAGCACAATTTGCCTGGCTTCTTTCTGCCTTCTCCCTGGCCTGCATCTGGTAGTTGGTAGTCGGCCTGAGGTCATCTGCTCTGTTCCACCACTGGCTGTGTTGGGGAGGTTGCTTTAGGGCTGATCCCCTTTTTCAGGGAAATGTCTTCTTCGCAGCTGAAGTAAATACTTTTCATTTTTTTCCAACAGGAAGTGTAAGTTCCCCCACCCCCCACCCCGCACTGCCTCCAGACTCTTCTCTGGAGCCATTTTTACAGTAGCATTTTTCCACCCTAGGAAGCCCAGGTGCTTCTGCCTCCAGAGCTTCCGTGGCTCCCCACTCTGCTCCTCTCCTCCCTGGACCCCAACCATCTACTAAATCCATGGGACACCCCAGATGCAAAGGGTATGCTCAGAAGAAGGAAACCGGAAAAGCATTTGGGAGGGCTCAGCTTCCTCAGCAGGCCCTGGATCCACCATCCAGGATCCTGATGTCGGAGCTGATTCGGCTGGGTGCTGGAGCCTTAAAACTAAAGTGATTTCTTGCCTCCCCATTTTCTGTGTGCCTTGCGTGCGCCAGAGCATGGAAGGAAGCAGGCAGTTCTCAAGGCTGGTGCTCTGGAAACCGGAAAATAAAAGTAAGAATTACAGCAGAATTCTTTGTCTGCCTGCCCCTCTTCCCCTTTTGGACGGTGCTTGCGGTGCTTGCGATGCCTTCCTGCACCCTTGTCTGCCTCCTAAGCAGCCCTGTAGCTAGCAACTTGGAGTGTCAGCCTCATAACCGGATAGGGAGAAGAGAAAATGTCAGAGCAGCTGGCTTTGCTGCCCTCCCTCCCCGGGCCACCTGGAGGCTTCCCTGCCAGCCTGGGAATCCTCTGGTCAGATTTGTTGTAGGGGGAAGTGGGTGGTGAGTGTTGGGGGTATGGGGGTGGGGTCTGGGACATTGTTAGGAAGGTGCCTTACACATAGGGCTCAATGAATGCCACCCAAATTGGATGTAATTAAATTAGCAGCAGCTGTCCTGCTTTTCCGGCAGAAAGGCTACAATTATGCATAAGGCCTCTTGGGCAAAGGCTAGATAAGAGTAGCCCTCAAGCCAGCAAGAAGCTGAAAAGTGTTCCTAGCCCCTGCTGAACTCACCCAGATATGTGGAGTTCTATTTTCAAATGAAGAGACTGCAGGCTATGCTGCTCCCAGGTGGAATTTCTAAAGGAACAAACTCGTCTCTAGAGCCCTCCCGCTTCCTTGTAGAGTGCAATGTCCCTTCTACTCAAATCTGGACCCTCACCATCCCTGATTCACATCTCACCCAAGGCTTTCCCCCTGGGTGTTCCCTGGAAGATAAAGGTTATGAATAATAAACGTTTGCCTCCTTCCACTACCCCTTGAAAACATCTTGCTGTCCGTGTTCTTTAAAAGGCGCCAGGAGAAAGGAAGACAGGCTGGTCTATTTCACAGTAGGGTGTGAACTGCCAGAAGTCACTTTCCTAGAGATGTTTTAGTTTATATTTTTTGTTGTTGTTTATTATTGTACAGTTTAGAAGAGGCACTCATTTGCGGTGAAATCTAAGTGCAGGAGGTTTTCATAACAGCACCCGGAAGGGACAGCACAGCGCTATCAGCTTTCTGGGTGAGAATAACATCTCAGCCCCTTTGTTCCAGATGCCCACCCATGCTCAGCCCTGCAAATGCATCCCTTAGATGTAACTAATAAGAAAACACATTGGAAGAACTCAGAACAGATCCTAGTGGATTGGGCTATCCTCCGCTGTCCCGAGCTCTGTCATCTCACCAGTATTGATGTCCACAGGTTAGAGCATCTCGGGCCTTAACAGTGACATCTGTGACCTTGGCATGTTTGATGCCTATCAGCCTGGGTTAAAGCTACCCCATCTTAGCAGAGGTGAAGCCAGCCATTTCACATTATTTTGCACAGTTGTGACTTCTGATTTTAATATTTCCATGAATCATATTTAATTCATTATTTGATTAAATACTGGATCAGTTGACACAGCCAGTCCACTTCACCCCACCAGCCCAAGCTGGGCTCAGAGTAGCTCCAGGCAAAACTGGCAGGTGGACAGGACTGGACTTCAACACTTTGGTGCTGGCTTGGTTCCCTTCCCTGTCAGCCAGCCCTTCCCTCGTGGAACCAGAGCTCCCTCAAAGTCTGCTTTGCTCCAACTGTTCAAGGAGGGGCGGCCCTGGAGCGAGTTCTTCAGGGCAAGATGCTACCGTGTTGGGATTTTTAGTGGGCAACAGAGGCCAGAGGATGCAGCAACTACTTTCCTAGCTCCCCAGCAGCCCACTAGAAAACTGTGACCTGGGAAGTATCAAGTGTGTCTCCCTATCCTCTGTTATGACTGTGTCCCGATGTCCCCTCAAAGCCTCATGTGGCCATAGGAGGGGGCTTTTTCAGAGGTGGCTGGATCTAAAGTGTGTAGTTGGGCTGGGGATGTAGCTCAGTGACTCCGTGCCTGCCTGGCAAGTGCAAGGTCCTGAGTTTGATCCCCAGTACCAAATAAATAAATAAATAAATAAATAGTGTGTGATTGATTCGTGGTGCAGTGCTAGGAGTGAGGGTGCTAGGATTAAGGGTGTGTGATTACTAAATCAGTCCACTGATTAGTTTGGTCCCACCCTAATCCCAATAGCCTGGATACAATATAAGGGAAGAAAGGCTTGTTTGTCTTTTGCTTGCTTTGCTACCTTCTGCCTGCCATGAACTACTTCGCTTCTGCAATGCCTATCTTCCACGCCACCCTGCCCAGGACCCTGCCCATCATGGACTGAAACCTCTACAAACAGTGAGCCAAATAAGCCTTTCCTCCTTTAACTCTGGGTGTCAGGTACTTTGTCTCAGCAGAAAGAAAAAAGTAACTAGGTCATTCCCCTTCCCCTCCTACCACAGCGTCGAGCTGTGTTCCTCTGGACCA